CCTCCAGAGTTTCGTCCAGATTACCCCCATATCTTCGCCCAGATCTCCTTCAGATCGTTCCCCATATCTTCCTCCAGATCTTCGCCCATACCTTCCTCCAGATCTTACTCTAGATCTTCGCCCAGATCTGTTCCAGATCTTCTTCCAGATCTCTCCAGTTTTTCCCCGAATCTCCTCTTAGCATTGCCACGAGATTTTCGCCCAGATTTCCCCCCAGATCTACTCCCAAGTCTCTGTCCACATCTTCCCCCAAATTTCCCAGTAGATCTGCCTCCAGATCTTCGCCCAGATCTTTCCCCAGGTCTCCCTCAAGATCTTTCCGCAGATCATCCCCAGATCTTCTTCCAGATCTTTCCCCAGATCGTCAAACCAGATCTTCCTCCATTTTCGCCCAGATCTCCCTCCAAGATCTTCACCAGGTCTCCCGCCTGATTTCTACTTAGATCTTCGCTTAGATCTTCTCCCACTGCTGCCCCAGATCATTCGCCCAGATCTTCGCCTTGATCTTCGCTCCCGATCTACCTCCGGATCTTCGCCTTGATGTTCGCCCAGATCTCCCCCCAGATCTTCGCCCGGATCTTCCTCCAGATCTCCCCCAGATTTTCCTGCAGATCTTCCCAGGACTTCCCCCTGGATCTTCCACCATCTCTTTTCCAAATCGTCGCCCAGATCTTCCGCCCGATAGAACTCCGGATCTTCTCCCAGATCTTCTTCAAGATGTTCCTCCAGATCTTCGCCCAGACAGATTTTGATTTTCCCTGAATCTTCTCCCAGATCCCCCCCCCAGATCTTCTCCAAGATCTTCCAGATCTTCCTCCAGATCTTCGCCCAGATTTTCCGCCTGATTGCTTCCCAGATCTTCTCCCAGATCTTCCTTCATATCTTCGGCCAGATCTCCCTCCAGGTCTTCGCCCAGATCTCCCTCAAGAGCTCCTTACATATTATTTCCCAAATCTTTCCCAGATCTTCCTCCAGATCTTGCTCCAAATTTTCCTCTGGGTCTTTCCCAGATCTCCCTCCAGATCTTCCCTCAGGTTTTCCTCCAAATCTTCGTCCGGATCTTCGCCCAGAGCCGCCCCCCAAATCTTAGCCCATATCTTCCTAAAGATCTTACTCCAGATCATCCTCGTGATCTGCGGCCGAATCTTTCTCCAGATTTGCTACCGATCTTCACCAAGATCTTCCTTCAGACGTTCCTCAAGATGTTCACCCAGATCTTCTCCCAGACCTCCCCCCAGATCTTCCGCCAGATCTCCCGCAATGTTTCTCAACATCTACGTCTTGATCTCCCCCCAGATGTTCCACCAGGTCTTCTTCAAGATCAGCTCTCTGGATCTTCCCGCAGATCTGTTCCGCTGCTCAATAAAAGCCTTGTTTTGTTTCATGCCGTATCGAGGCGCCTTTTCTTGCTTTCAAAACCCTAGTGTTGTCATTTTCCACGCTCCTCAGCTGCGAGATATACGCGATCACCTAGAAATTGAAATACCTTGTTTGCGAACATCCTTATTGTTGTTTGAATTCCATGGAAGTAACGCCCGATGCATGGTCTGTGTACGCCACAGCATACAGGCCTCGGCAGAATTGCGAACACTCGTGCCACATTCGTGTTGGAATATTCCCACCACTCCCTCCCATGATCAGTGTTGGCGGTGAATCTCCCGTCTTGCAGCTCGCTACGGTCTTCCGCAGACGTGCCAGCTATGTTTTTGTTTGCGGGGGATGGAGGGCTCCTTACGATCAAGAACACTGGTTCAGCGTGTGGTTCCGCCAGTTCTGGCCCACGCTTCGGCGCGGCACGCTGACCATTTCCTGGTCCCCAGGCGTCATCGTCGCAAGCCTTTCACAGCCTCCCGCCCCGCGGAGCGGACCGACACGCTACCAGCTTGTAGGACATAGCCTGTCGCCGTGGCTAGCGCCACGACGTGCTTAACACACATTATTGACCGTTCCTGTTTCCGTCTGCCGTAGACTCACCTCCGCGCCAACGTCTGCGATATTGTCGAGGCGAGGCCCGCTTCAAGGGGTTCCGTGCGCCGCCTGGGCCAGTCGGGCGCGCTCCACGGTGGAAGAAGAGGAGGATGGAGGAGGACGAGGAAGAGGCAGGAGGAGGAGGATGAGGCGCTGGAGAGGGAGAAGGAGGAGGAGGAGGAGAGAGGAGGAGGCAAGCTTCTGTTGTCATCTTGGCTCAAGTCATGTTGATTCAATCCATTTTGGCTGAAACCATTTTGAGTCAAGTTGCCATCTTCTGAGAGTGGACGGGTCAAACCGCGGTTCAAGGGGACCCCAGGTGACTTCTCAAGGCCTGGGGCCCCGTTCTGTTATCCCGTGCAGTACGCCCTACAAGGGCAACAAAGGCAATGGTTGGCCGGACTGTTGGGCGGGTCCCAGCAAACGCTACGTTGGCGTGCCCCAGCAATGAGTGGGGGAACGTGTGCTACTTGTGTGAAACCAAGAGGCCCAAGGTGCCTGTTGGGTGAATCTCATCCACCCGGTGGTGCGTGGGGCAAGCTTCGATGAGGAGGTTCGGCCCTTGGCTTCATTTCGACGAGCCCATTTCCGTGCCCTCATGCATGTTTGTCGCAATCGCAGAGAGACGAACTCCGGCACCGCCGCGCCATGTCCGTCGCTGGGGTCGCCGAGCTTGTCACTGTGGTTGCGGGACGTCGACATGCTCTCCAGTCAGCTCTGGGCGGCCCGAACGCGGCTTGAAACGGCGAGGGTGTCGGCGCAGGGTGGCCCTGGCTCGCGTGGTGCCTGTCGAGGACGAGGTCGCGGAGCCCCAGGACAAGTGCGAGCCCGGGCGCGTTGGCCATGCTCGGCCAAGGGTTCCAGGCGAGCCAGCTTTAGTGGTCGGCGCGTTGGCTGGGCAGGGCGGCCGTGCGGCGCAGCTTGCTCCAGGCAGCGGGCGCAGTCAAGCAAGTGCTCGCGGCCATGGGCGGGCCGCATGCGGGGGGCGGGCAGGCCGACGTGTCAGCCCTTGTGGGGCGGCAGCCGCTCTGTCCTCCACTTCCTCAGGGCGGCGTCGCGGTTGCCCCTGTCGAGGCAGACGGCCAGCCCGAACCCCCCGCTCATGTTCCTGCCCGACCTTTTGCGACTGGCGATGGCCTGTCGGCGTGGCGTCAGGATCGAGGTCGGTGCCCAGGTGGTGCAGCTTGGGGCGGCGAGGTGCAAAACGATGACATCATGCTCGAGGATGGCCCCCCGCCTGCGGCGGCTTCGTTCCGCGCTGCGGGTCGAGATGAAGGAGCCCTTCCTGGCCTCGGAGAGCTTCCCCCGCGTCAGCGCGCAGCGTGCGAGGCGGCGGTGGAGGGTGCTGACGCCTTTGCGCCGCGTCCTCGCAGCAAATTGCGCGCTGCCGACGAGGCCGGGATCGCGTCTGCTCCCGCAGCCGGCGGCCGCCGTGCCCTTCCAGCAGCTGCTAGGTCGCCGCGGGGGGTAGCTCTGTCTTGTATTTTCATTATGGTGAGGGGGGCGCCGCTGGATTCGGCGGCGCGCGTGGCCGTGCCCCCCCCCCCCCGCGGCCACTTCGACCCTTCTGCCTTGCTCTTCCTGCCGGGCGCGTTGGGCCCCGCGGGGGGCCCTCCAGCGCCGAGGTCGCAGCTGGGGGCGAGCGCGGCTGAGTCGGGAGAAATGGCCAGTGGATCGCCCGAGGCGTTGGCCGGGCACATTGCCCTCAGCAGCTGCGTCGCGATGGCCAGTCGTCGGCCGACGACGCGGCGCGATGGCGGGCGATGGCAGTCCTCGCAGTTTTGCGCCCAGCGCAGGTGCACATGAGCCGTGGGACTTCAGCGCGCTCGACGCTGGGCCAGCGCCCATTGGCCCATGGGGGGCGAGACTGGCGCCGGCCTTGTCTTCGCGCAGGAGGCGCGCGCCAGCTCCGAGCGCCGCTCTCGCGGTGGGGCGGCGATCGGTCGTCTCTGTGGGAAGGCCAAGGCGGCGCCGTCAGGGGCCTCTCAGGGGCTCAGAGGAGGCGCCCTAGTGGGCACCTGGCCTCGCGCTGGCCCCTGCGAGGCCCCCGCCCCCGAGCGCCCCTGACTTTCTGCGCTGCGCGGGCCCCCGTGGCGCGGGTCAACGGCCCGGCCCTTGCTTCTCGCGGGTTAGTCGCATTTCGTCGTATGGGGCGCCGCGGACGACAGGGGTGTCTTGATGTCGAAACAATTTAGGGGAAGTGATTTTCCCAAGCCCCGGGGCAGCCGCCCATCCCGGGGGGGGGGGCGGGGCATTCCGCCAGAGACCCCGCTGCCGCCGCGGTCTCACTACCTCGTCCTGCAACTGTCTGCATTATTTAACGCTTCCCGCAGCGTTCCTGCCGAGTGTCCAGCGTTGCCATCTCCGGGGCGAGCGCAGCGCGTCTCCTTGCTGGCCCGTCAGCGCGGCCATGTCGGGCAAGCCGCGCGAGCTAAAGCTGCCATCCCTGAAGTTGCTCAAGCAGTTCCCGCTTGCGCCCCCCTTCCGGCTTCAGGCCCGAAGGGATTCCAGGGGGGCGTTCGAGCGGTTCCAAGGCGCTCGCTCCGGGTCAGACCTCGCCGATGCCCACCTGAGTTGCGGCAGCAATGCTGAGAGGGCCATGCGGGGGCGCGACGAGACAAGGGGTTCTTGATTGCCGGGGCAGACGGCGCGGCGCGTCGGCGCTTGGAAAGTCTGGGTGCACGTGCCCGAAGGCCTCTCCTGGAGCTTGAGCCTCGCGCGCCCATCTCATCGGCTTCAGGAATTAGATCGCGTTCTGGCCGGGGGGGGGGGCGCAGCCCCAGAATGCCCGGGAGCTCAGGGGACATGGCTCCTGGGATTGTCGGGCAAGCCGCGTAATTGCCGACCTGGGCCTTTTCCCGGGCCGGCCTACGGGCTCCGGGGCCGGGCCCCAGACTGGGCTTCGGCCATTTCATCCTGAAGGCCCGCGCCGAATCCCGCGCGCTGGGGCATTTCTCAACTGAGTTCACGGCCGAGACTTGGAGGGGGCTCGTCGCCGCGCCCGCGACAAGTTGGGGGGGGTCTGATTCGCGATGTCACCGAGATACCGCATGCCCGCGCCCCTGTTGAGTCCTCTGGATGGGGCCCCAGTGGGGCACTGCCAGCTTCTAGGCGGCCTGGAGAAGGAGTGGAAATGCATCTGGGTGAAGATTATTTTTCATAGTGCGCTAGATCGCCGCGAGGACATTCGGGGGTGCACTCAGGAGTTCGACCTCGAGCTTGAGCTCGGCCCGCCCCGGGCACCGGCGGGCGCCCTTCGACCCAGCTTAGGTGAGTTCGAAAAGTGGGCGGCCATCGGCGCAGACGGCCGGCACCGCGGTCTCCTTGCGTTCTCGAGCCCCCCCACCCGCGCAGATCGAAAGGATCGTCGCCTGCCCACGTCAGTTATTGAAGATGACCGTCGGGCATTTGCTCAAAGCCACAGGGGGCGGCGACCGGTAGGCATGCTCTCTACATGCTTGCGGGCGCTGTCGGCTCTCGGCGTGCTCTCTACATGCTGCTCGGTCGCTGCCGGCAGGGTTCCGACGCGCGTCGCCTCGCTCTGCCCCTTATCGCGTACTCCCGGACCGCGCGCGTTACAAGTCGCCCAGTTTTCGACGTCCGAGCGCTGCGCGGGGGCGGGCGCGACAGCGGGGCGCGCCTTGGAGGCGGCGCTCCTCGGAGTCTACCTCGCCCCCGCGATCGACTGGGCGCGCCCGTCCGGGTCGCGGCTCGGCGCGCGCCAGGTGGTCGACGATTGCACTGTTGCAGCAGTGTGGCCCAAGAACATGGTCTCTCAGGGACTCGCGCGAGCTTGCGAGGCGCTTCGCGGTCAGCTGGCAGAGTTGGGTCCGCGGGCTTTCTCCTGCGCGGAACTGACTCGCGGCTCCTCCCAGATACCTCGGCGCGGCCTTCTCCGAGAAACTGCGGGGATGGATCCTCGCCGCGTGCCGCGAAGTGCCTGGGGGTTGATTTTTCCTGCTCGCGGGCGAAAGGTCTAGTTGCCCAGGCGCAAGTTTTCAAGCTGGGGGCAATCCCGCGGCCTCCTACGGCCCCCCGCGGGGATGAGCGCCGGCGCCCTCCAATCGCTGAGGGCGGCAGCGGGGGCTGCCTGTTTCGGCCGTCCGGCCGGGCGGTCTCGGGCGTTCCAGTTTCTGCTCGGCGAGGATCCCAAGACCGACCACCCCTGCGCGGCTATCCCCTCGCCGCCGGCGATCTGGGGGCGCGCTGTCGTCGGGCGCCAGTTGCCGCCCGACATCATGGGATCCCTTTCCGTCGATCCCAAAAGGCGCAGGAAGGTGCGACCCGTTGGCCGTGCTCGGCCGCGCCGGCCACTTTCTCCCGCCTGAGTTGGACTGCCCAGACGCGCTCGCGCCGGTTTACTGGCGGGCGCGCGGAGGTGGGTCAAGGGGCCGCCCAGTCATGGACTCAGCGCGAGATCGTTGACACGGGCACGGGGCGTGCCTGTTTGCAGAGGTTGCCTGGGCCTCTTGGGCCAGAGCATTCGGGCCCCTCCCTTCTTGGAGCCCATCCGCGAGGCTCAGCGGCAGCTTCGGCGAGAAGGTTCCAGAGCGGAGGCGCAGCTTTTCGCTGCGCGCGTGTCGCGCGGGCCGCGGACGCACGAGCGTTTCTTCGCCGCCAGATTTTCGGGCTTCTCCGCTGCGCCGAGGTTCAAAGGCTGAGCCAGGCGCGACGGGAGCAGGTTGTTGTCGCGTGATCTTAGTGAACGAGTGCCTCGTGGCCTCGACTTTTATGACGTTGCTCGAACTCGTAGAGAGTGGCAGCGCCCAGACCCCTTCCCCCCGCTGCCTCGTCAATTATTGAGTCGCTTCGCTCATTCCGCCGGCCCGTATTGTGCCCTCGCTGGCGTTTTGGTGTTGGGGGGCACTTTGGGTCCTCTTTGGGGGCTTCTTGGGGGCCTCTTGGGTTTCTGTTGGTGCCTCTTTGGGGTTTCTTGGAGCTCCTTTGGGAGCATTTGGGCGCATCTTGGGGCTTCTTGGAGCCGCTTGGGAGCTTTTTGGGGGCCTCGTGCGGGCCTTTGGGGAGCTTCCTGGGGCTTCAAAGACGCCTCTTGGCGCCTCCTGGGGGCTTCTTAGGGCCGGGGGCTCGAGATGCTGTTTGGTGTTCCCCCTTCTGGGGCTTCTCTTAGAGCGTTATTGGGGCCCTCCTGGGCCGTCTTGGAAGCCTCTTGGGCCGTCTTGGAACCCTCTTGGGCCGTCTTGGGGCCCTGTCGGAGGCCTCTCGGGCGTCTTGCGGCGATTTTGGAGACTTTTTGGGCCGTCTTGGGGCGTCGCGATGCCGAAAAGGTGGAGGCGCCAAACTTTCCCCAAAACCTGAGGAAAAAACAATGAATTGTGCCTCATGGGGCCCTCTTGAGAGTCTCTGGGGGCTCCTTGGCGGCGTCTTGGGGGCCCCCAGGGCCTCTTGGGGGGCTCTCGGAGGCCTCTTGGGGCGGGCGGGGGGCAATCGATTGCGGCCCCCCCATCGGAGGCCACGATCCTTGTGAGGGGTGTCGAAAAATTGCCCTCCACTGGGGTGCTCTGGTGGCTCCTCCCAGGACCTTGCCGGGGTACTTTTCGTCCGTGGCCCCCCAGGGGCCGCCCCGCGCGCGCGAATTAGAAATATTATGAACCAGTTACCGGAGATATTAGCACGCCTCTGGCCCGTTGGGCCGGCGAATTCCTGTGATCTGAATTGCCCCCATCCAGGCTCGATGGCGCTATTTGCGCTGATGGGCCGTTGGTCGGGACGGGCGCTTTCTGGCTTGTTCGGGATTGACGAGTCTTGCATGAACCCCACTTCTGTGCGCGCCTTTCCTGGGGGGGGCGGTCTTGCGTTAAGATGCCCCTTCCCCGCCGCGCGGTGACTCTGAGGGGCCATATTTGAGCCCTTCCTTTGGCCCCGCAGGAAATCGAAGTGCCCTGGCTGAGGGCCTGCATACTGTGTCTTTGTAGCTTGGTGAATGGACTAAAGGTCATCGCTGACTGCGAGGTGCTCGCGAGTGGAGTCGCGGCAGGAGCCGAAGCGCGCTGCCGCCCATCTAAGATGCGCGCGGAGATTTGGTGCAGGATCTGCTCAACGTTACACCTTGGACTCGCCCCCGCGCCTCCTGGAGGCAAGGCCGGGCTCACGGCGTTCCGTGGCCCCCGTTTCGTGCGAATTTGTTTGCTGGTAGTTTTGCGAAAAGATGCACGAGGATTCTCTTGTGTCCGAAGATGCGGAGCAGCAGCGCCAGCTGCTCTGGTGGTCCAGCTTTTTGTGTGTCCCTGTGCACGGGTCGCATTATTGAGCATGTCGCGGCTGATCCGTTTCCCGATGCCATTCGGCCTCGTCTTCGTCGCGTGTTCGACCTGTTCGAGCTCGCGTTGGATCCTAGAGGACATCGGGCCCTAGTGGCAGGGCGGCCGCTGGAGTAGCCTTGCGCGTGGTCGTCAGTGTTAGTCCCGAGCCCGATTTGTTCAGTCGAGGTGTCCAGGGGTCCCCGCTAAGCTCGTTCAGGCGCGCTGGTCTCGCAGGCTCTTGTGGTCGGGTGGCCCCGAAGGTCGGGCATGGTGCAGCGCATGTGGCGCGTGCGCATGGAGACAGATCCTGGCGCTTACGGGGCGCTGCGTGGGGCAACCGACAGAAGGCCGTGCTAGAGTTTTGAAGGACATGACAGGGGCAAAGACCCCATTTCCAAGCAGCCCATCCCTCGGTCCAGCCCTGTGGTGCCCCCGCTGCAACCTCGCCGTGTCGGTTGGGTCCGGAGGCTTTCCATGATTCTATGAGGTCATGGCCGAGGGGCGGGTCCTTCGCTGGGAGGACTCGGATTGGTGGAGATTTTCGGGTCGGGGTTCTGGGCCCTAGCCATCTCCTGGCGCGCGTGTGGAGGTACACTGGTTTGTGGTGTATCCGGCGGGGCCACAGTCCGAGGAACGGAGCACGGAAAAAGGAGCAGACAAGCCAGGTGCTTTCGCGCCATACATGACATCTTACCTTTCCCGCCCATCATTTTCTATCTGGAGCTCCGAAAGAGCCCCATCGTGCTATGCGCAATCGGAAAGGGGAACGGCGTATATAGGAGGAGGAGTAGGAGGGGGAGGAGGAGGAGGAGGAGGAGGAGGAGGAGGAGGAGGAGGAGGAGGAGGTGGTGGCGGATTAGCAGTAGGATGCGAGGGAAAAAATATCGAGGACACGCAACAACAGCAGCAGCAGTCGGATCTGGAGTGAAAGGAACGGGAGGAGCAGGAAGACCAGCGGAAGGCGGAGGAGGGGAAAGGAGGGGGGCGACAATGGAAGGATCCCGATCCCGCGGACTAGGTGGCCCGCGCGGGGGAAAGAGCGCAGTTTTGAACGACGGGGGTAGAGCGCCGTCTTTCAAATGAGGCCCACGTTGGAGCGGCAACACAATTTTGAAACATCGGACGCGCTCCGATTGGAAAACCACGCGAAGGACGCATTTTCGAAACCCTTTGTGTAACATACGCGGGGAGGGCGGAACATCATCCGGATGGGGTCAGGAGAGAAGGGTGACTAGTGTTCATAGCATCGAGGAAGTATAGAGCAGGGGCAGGAGGAGGAGGAGGAGGACGAGGACCAGGACGAGGGCGAGGGACGAGGAGGCCGGAGGAGCAGGAACCATGCAGCCCGTGGGGGCCCGCCCCTCCTGCCGCCGCAGGACCCCGCGAGCAAGAAGAAACGGCTCGCGCGGCAGGAGGCGTTCCTGGCCGGCAGGAAGGCACGGCACGACGCTGCAGTCGGGCTGTTTGAGCGCGAGATGGACGCCCTCTCCGAGGATCGCAGCACAGAAAGCGGCACAAACAGAAATTGTTGGAGCTCCGCGCGGATCTATTGGATCTGCATTGGGCCCCTCTGGAGGCGCCTCTGGCGCCGCCCATGGCGCGCCCCAGGCGCCAGGAGGGCCCAGCGCGGATCCAAGAAATGCGTGCGGACTTCCAACAGTTTATGTTTATACAGTGTTCGTAACTCCTCTAGAGGAGGCGCGGCGTAATCGGAGTCTGGTCGTGACTGTTTCAATCCCAACGTGTTTCTTCGGTTTCGTTCTCCAGAGCCCTTATCGTGCCCTGGGGCCATGGATGAAAGCGGTCGGGGCTTCTTGGGCTGCGGACGGAAAAGAGCATATCGTCGGATGTTTGGGAGGGCCGTTCGTATACACCCACCTTGGTCAGGCCCATCCTGGTCCCAGAATCGATGTGGATGCCTCGTTGGCCATGCCAGGAGGGCGTGTAAGTACACCGATCCTGGGCTCAGGGTTGGTTAGTCCAGGGTCAGTGTATATGTAAGTGCGTTGATGGGGCAGGCGGGGCGGAGCGGTGTCGTTGTTCAGAGGAGCCAAAGGTCATGGATGTGTTTGCTCGGGAATGTTGTCTGCGGTGTTGGAGCACCGCCGTCCTATCGCCATCGTTCCATTGGCACGATCGCTCAAGTTTCTCCGGCTATGCAGGTAGCCCGCGCCACGATCCTGGAGCTCGTGGCGGGGTCAGCACTGGGGCGGCATTGTGGGGTGCGGGCCAGCCGTGCCCAGCCTGCGCCCCAGTCCTGCACTGCCCGGCTGTGCCAGCGACCACTTGCGTCTGCGAGACGCTGTCGCCGCTGGCGGTGGCCAGCGGGGTGACGGTGTTGGCGCTGCTGGTCGTCACCGCGTATTTGCTCGGTGCCGTATGGGGGCTCCCGACCGTCGAGCGGCGCTCGGCATAAGACGCTGGACCGAGGGTCGTGGTGAAAGAGGCGGTCCCGTCGCTTGAGGAGCAGGCTCGGGCCCAGCTATCCTACGTGCGGAACCGCGGTGCTGCATCTCGAGCGTGATGGCGCTGAATGCAGGGAGCTACGTGATGGTGCAATGCCGTTGCGTCCCGGGCCCTGCCGTGTATCATGTGAAGTTGGTTTTGGCTGTCCGCCCAGGGTCATTCGATGCATTTGGGCCCACGCCCGATTTCGACCACTACGCGGAGTCGTGCACCGTCGGGTTCGATTTCATCAGTGTGCACTTTTTGACGTACGCTAGGGAGGCGCCGCCTGGGGTCGCAGCTGGACAGGTCTACGGTTTCCGTGCGGCGCCGGCCCAGGCGATGATCGACGCCTTCGCGATGCCCGGGCCTCACCACCTTGGTGTGCTATGTCTGCCGCTGCCGCTCGCGTGCCACTTCAACCCGCCTGGCGGTGATGCAGGCGCGGCTGCGGCCGCGGCGGCCGGCGCAACACCAGATGCAGCGCCGCGTGCCTGGGCGGCCGCGGCCCTGGTGCCCGCGGGGGGGGGCGCCGCCCGCCCCAGGAGGCGGAGGCCTCCTGCCCACTGGTGGTGCCGCCGCGGGCGCGGCCGCCGGCGTTGGCGCCGGCGCCGCGCTGGGCACCCCGCGTGAGTTGGGCGGAGGCGCCGCCGCCGCGGCGGCCGCCCCGGGCGGCATGCTGGTGCTTCCGCCTGGGCTCAGTTGGTACGCCGCGGAGGATCGTGGAGGCTACTCGATGGGCGACGTCGTTTGCCACCAGCTGCCGCCCGGCGCCCTCGTGCGCGGCGACCGCGCCATCCTCCGCGTGGTTGGCGTCTCGGTGGCGGTGGCGCAGCTCTCCGCTGCGGACGCGCTGGTGCTGGCCAAGGATGATGTTCGCGCGTCGGCTGTCAGATATGATGTCCAGGGCGAGAGACGTCGCACATGGGACGACGCGCTGGCCCACTCGTCGGAGGAGCACATGCCTTGGGATCTTCAGGGCCCTCGCACCGTCCTCTGGTTCATGAAGCACGTGCGGGACAACGGCAACAGCGCCTTCCATTCACGCGAGAATTGGGCGCACCTCTCCAAGGCGCCGCCGGGCGATCGGAGCACCTACGAGCACGAGGTTCTCAGTCGCATCTTCGACGCAGCGGCGATGCAGGACCAATTGAACTGCCCGTCTCTCCTATGCATGGAGCTGGCCTCGCGACGTCTCGCGCTGATCAAGGAGGCGCGCCGAGTCTCGCCGTGCCAGCCCGACTACAGCGCCGCCGACCAGTTCGATCATGGGCTGGAGCCGCGCGGGCGGCGCGGCCATCGCGCCCAGCCTCTCGGCCCGCGTCGCCGACCAGCCCAGGCATGAGTCGGCGATCTCGAAGGGGGCTAGGGGGGCGCGCGAGGGGGCCAGCGCGAGGGCCAAGGGCCAAGGGCCAAGGGTCGCGGCAAGACAGAGGGCGCGGCGGCTGCCAAAGCCGCAGGCGAGAAATGACGCGGCGTGGGCCGCGGGGGCGGCGACTGGGCCCGCCTGCCCCCCACTCGCTCGCCAGCCTTGTTATCCAGGTCCGTCTCAGGGTGGCGAGGCTCGGCGCGTGCCCATGGGGGCCCTTCCCGCTCCCGACCTTCAACGAGGCGACGCCGGGCGCCTCCCAGCTTTCTCGTTCAGTTCACCAGCGGCTGCGACATCGGCAGGCCAAGAGGCTCAGGGCCAACGAGAGTACCCGGGCCTTGAACGATCTCTACGGCGAGCCCTCCCCCTCGTCGCCGGCACCGCCAAGGGCGGGCAGGGGCGCGGCCCAGGCAGCGGCTCAGCGCGCAGTTTCGAGGCGCGTTCTTCCCACATGAGTGCCTTCTTATTCTCAGCGGCGAGAAGCCGCCCGCGAGCTTCTCGGCCCCGACCTCGTCTTCGACAGCGGAGAGGTTCCAAATGCTGTGGCCATGCATGATGCCGCGCTGATCGCGGTGCCGGAGGAGTTGGAGCAGCCCCCCGCCGCACTTGATGTTCTCTCGGAGGTGGGCAGAACCCCTAACAGTGACGCGTCGATTCGTGAATTGTCCGTTTTCGATTCTCGAGGGGGCGCCGCGGCCGTCATTTTCCAGGCTTGCGCCCGCCAGGTTTGGGCCTCAGGTCGTTTTCATTAAGCCGCGTTTTGCTAAGGAGGGGTATGTCCATCCCCGGTTCTCGACACCGAGGTCGCCGGCTACCTGCGGGAATTTCGGTCGCGCATGATGTTGTCTGAGGATGATTTCGGCCAGCGGTGCGAGAGCGAGACCCCGGTGTCGCCCCCTACATGGGCCCGACGCTCGCTTTGGACCCCGGCAAGTTTGCGGACTTCGTGGCCCTGCTGGACCGCGCCAACATGCTGAGGTACTCGACCGACGCTCAGGATCTCACCGCGTCGTTCTGCGTTCGGAAGAAATCTGGGCAGTTGCGTATCGCGTGGGATTGTGGGGCAGTCAATGCGAGGTTCGCGAGGTGCCCGAAGATGAACGCGTCGTCGGGGAGCAAGCTGGCGGACCTCGAGTTCGGGCAGGGCGAGGAGGTCTACGCCGCGCAGGCGGGCGTGGCGAACTACTTCTACCACCTCGTGATCGCGGAGGAGCTGCCCGAGCACTTTGCCCTCCCCGCGGTCGACGTGACCTTGCTGAGGGCCACGTGCAGGCTCCCGCCCGACATCGCACCGCTGTCCGAGGGCAGCCTGGCGTCGCCCTGCCTCGCGGTGGCCCCGATGGGCTGGGGCCGGGCGAAGTGGGTTACCCAGCGCGTGGTCTACCACCAGTCCACGTGCAGCAAGGCCGCCACTCTGGTTCGCACCTTGAGTGACGAGCGGCCCGCCCCCGACATGTCGGATGGAAGCCGGCGCTACTCGCCTGCGCCGACAACTTGGACGTCGCGGGCTCCGACGCGCAGCGCGCCCCCGGCCCTGCGGGACGACCTGGTCGACCACTTCCGGTGCGTTGGCTTCGTGGCGCGCGAGATCTACGGGCCCTCCGTGGACATAGACGCCGTCGCGCTGGGCGATGCGGTCATGGGCCGAGAGAGGCTCGTCGCCCCCGCGGACCGCAAGTTGGAGTTGCTCAGGGCCGCAGGGCCCCGGCTCCTTCGGCGGCCCCGCGTCGGCGGCCAGACTCTGAAGCGGTTCGTGGGTCACTGTGCTCACCTGTGCATGTTGCGTCGTGGAATGTTCACCATCTTCCATCGCGTCTACTCCTTCACCGCGGCTCACGCCGTCAGCCGCTGCCGTGTCTCGGGCTCGGTGCGCAGGGAGATCAGACGGTTCCTCGCGCTGCTGCCGTTTTGCCGGGCGCAGCGCGATAGACCGCGGCTCCCGAAGGTCACGTCGTCCGACGCCTGCCTCTCTGGGTACGCTGCGTGCTCGCGGGCGCTCGACTCAGACGTCGTCAAGTCGATCGGGGCCTCGAGGAGAAGCCCAGGTACAAGGCTGGGGCCCCCGCCATCAGGGCTCGGGGCCACTCGCTGCTAGGCGCGGACGTTTTCAGCAACATCAGCATTGTCAAGACCGCGTGCCCCGACGAGACTCCAGAGGCCCAGGGCGCGAACCCCATCTTCGTCGAGATCCCCCAGGAGCTCTTGGGCCCCACGGATTGGCAGCAAGATTTCGCGGCTCGGTTCCTGGAGGCCGAACGCATCGCGGTACTTGAAGGTAGGGGCTCGGTGGCGGCCATGAGGCACCAGCTTCGCTCTCTGGCGTATTTCGGCCGTTCGCACTTTGGGGGCAATCTATCGCTCATTTTCGCTGCAGAGAAGGGCAGGTCTTCCGCTCCAGGATTGTTGAGGATCGGCCGGCGCCTGCTCGCGCTCGCCCTCGCCGCCGATGTGCAGGCGCACCACAGATGGCACCCGTCCGAGCTGAACGCCGCAGATGGGCGGCTCGCGGCCCCGGGAGGGCACGGGCGCGCTCCTGCGCGTTCCGGAGGCGCCTTGCTTCGTCCAAGGGCCATGTCAAGCCGACCAGGTCGCTGCCCTTGTCGCCGCGGCTCGTGGTCGACATCCGCGAGTTCGCACTCCCCTTTGGCTTGGGCGTGGCCTCCGCGCTGGCGCTCGGGG